AATCATAAAGAATAAGCCCTTGTTGAGTTATTAGTAACAGTAAGACATTTGGGATTATATTACACCTACACTACCATTATAAAAACAAATAAAGGGCTTGTAATGTGCTTAATGTTGTCGTTTTATTTCCTGTGTTTTTTATAGATACACTTTTGCCTCCGGTTCTGCTGATAACATCAAACAGTGGATGTTCCCAGATGGCAACTTCATCCAGAACCTGTCGGGCCACAACGCCATCATCAACACTCTTGCTGTTAACTCTGACGGCGTGTTGGTGTCTGGAGGTATTCACCGCTGTCATTTATTTACCGAACTGCCTGTTTTATCTACAGAAAATGTTTAGCTTTTAATTCTTAATAATACGTTTATTTGGGTGAAAGATGAAGGTGTTGGATTAGAAACGCATTAAGTTTTTTTTGTTCCCGCTGTAGCCGACAATGGAACCATCCACATGTGGGATTGGAGGACAGGCTACAACTTCCAGAGGATTCATGCAGCTGTGCAGCCTGGATCTCTGGACAGCGAGTCGGGCATCTTTGCCTGCATGTTCGACCACTCAGAGAGCAGACTGATCACCGCCGAGGCCGACAAGACCATTAAAGTATACAAAGAGGACGACATGGCTGTAAGTTATACTGTTTTATTTAAAGTCTGTTTGGATTTTAGTGTTAGTTTCCAGGAAGCAGATAGATCATTTGACTGTGTTTTCTTTTTTGCAGACGGAAGAAAGCCATCCAATCAACTGGAAACCAGAAATCCTGAAGAGGAAAAGATTCTAATAATTTTTTTATTTGTTCATTTTGTCACAGTAACAGTTTTATTTCTACCCATCAAGTTTTGCTTTCTACGGCCTTTTCATCAGGCAAACTTCTTCGTAACTAATGTGTCTTTGTCAGAGGCGACTACACGCTGAAGTTAAAAGTACAACGGGCCCATTTTATTCCAAAAACCATTTGCAGTCTTCATTGTACGACGTTAATCCAATAAGGTGGCCATCTTGGACTGCCAGGAAGCACCCTGAGTGTTTGTTCTTGATGATGACGGCTCTCTGATGGCTCTGGTCTGTCTGATCCACCAACAGCAGCCACTCTTCAGACACCGACGGACTGGCCTCGGAGTGGACCTCGTCCCTGCTGGGGTCAAACCCTGTATTGTTTGAAAAAAAAAAAAAAAA